GTGGCAGCCTGGGAATGGCAGGAACAGGAATATGATGTTAATGGGGCACATGTAGCGTGATGTCATGGGCTGCTGTGATGTCACCATGTTGTCACTGCTCTGGGGTGCCTTTGGGGTGTGATGAGGCCCCTGCTGCACGATGTTGTGCAATGTCGTAGCAGTGCTGGAGGTGGCTGCGGCCTGGGATGGAATATCGCTGCAGTGGTGGAGCATGACATCACTGGGGTGCGTGGTGTGGTGGGCAGCAATATCACGGTAGCATGCGGGATGGGGTGGCGCACAGAGAGCCAGCTCCCACCCTCCCCATGATGTGGGCCAAAGGCTGGGGATGTGCATGTGGGTACATGAGGAGCCCTGGGGACAGCATCTCCCCACCTGTGGTGAGGGGTCTGGGGCACAACCCCCTGCCTGCTGAAACGCTTCCCTCGCAGTCCCATACCACCCTTTTTTTGAACAGCTTCCTTCCCAGTCCCATCCCACCCTCCTCTCAGGGCATTGCTAGCCACAGCCATGTGTGGGGACAGATGAGCCCTACATGCTGCATCCCTGCCATGGGGCCAGCACCCTGATCCTGTACTGCCTGGCTGCATCCTGCGTGGGTGCCCGTGGCACCCCCTGCCTTTCTCCCATCCTCCTGCTGCCTCTACCCCTGCCTGGCACCTTGGCTTCATGTCACCAGGCTTAGCCATGCTGAGCAGGCACCCTGGGGTGACCACAGCTTCTGGGGTGACCTTGCCACCAGATGCCACAACACAAGCTGGGACATGGCTCTGCTGGGACAAGAGAGGCTGAGCTCTTCCCTATGTACAAGCAGGACCTCGTAGCCTCAGACCTTGGGTGGAGCTTCATGCTGGGGCCTCAGTGCTATCAGCAGCACGTCGGGAACCACGAGGCCTTTCCCATCCACCATGCAGAGCCTGGGCACCCTTCCCTCTCCCTTCCCAAAATGGCCTGGCTCTGGGCCATGCATCCCTTCCCCATGGCATCAAGCACCGGATCGGCTGGGAAAAGCCTTTTGTCTCCAATCAGGAACATTGTTTCCTCCTGGAAAGGCTCCATCCAGCCTGGAGGGATTTCCGCTGCAGCTGGATGGGGCAGGGGGGTACCTGGGGAATGGGCCAAGCTGCAGGAAGCAGGAGCTGGAGGGGAGGCAGAGCAGGGAGAGCAGAGATTGGTGGCCTGGGGACAGCCACCCATTGCCTGGCTGGGGCCAGGGGTGAGGGTGCACTGCTCTGCTTCAGCAGGGGTCTCACATGGCAGCCCTGCACCCGTATGTCCACATGTGGGTGGCTCTTCCCCCATGCTTACTTCGGTGAGCCCAGCGTGGGGCTGTGGCAAAGGCTCCCCCTCCCTCACTGGCTGGCACTGCAGAGTGACACCCAGGGACTGTCCCATCCCTGCGCAACCCAATGAAACCCTGTCCCCATCACATGTGCCTTGCATGGGGCTGCTGCCCCTGGAGAGCTGCTCCAGACAGGACAGCAGGGTGATGGGCACAGTGCCCCAAGTCTGGTTGGGTGGTGGAGAGCATAGTGCCAGAGGGGGGCTGGCTATGCCTGGGTCTGTGGGAGGATGTGGGTCAGGCCAGGGAGGGGATGGGAGCAGCACAGAGTAGAGCTGGGGACCCGCACCCACGCACCTTTGCAGCTGGGCCTGGGGAAGGGATGGGGTTGGAGAGGGAAGGGGAGCAGGGCCTGTGCAGTGGGATGCAGGACTCTGGATGTGCTGGGCAGCGGGGCTCAAGGTCTCCTCTGCAGCTGGAGGACAGCCCCTTCCTGCCCAGTCAGGCAAGAAAGCTATTTGCTTGTGGCCGGGGAATCCTGGCCCCCCAAAGCCGCTTGGGACCATTCCCATGCCCGGGGAGGCAGCAGCAGGCTGCTCCTGCAGCCTGGTGGGCCTGTCAGGATCTAAGCTACTGGGAACCTTCCCCTCTCCAAGGCAGGCACATGTGGCACCACGCAGCTGCCACAGCTTCCTTTGCTCGCTGGCAGGGTCCACAGCATGGGCATTGGCTGGCAGTGGGGCCATTCTCCCCTATCCCCGTGCCAGTGCTGGGGGCTGTTCCTGGCTCCCTGGGAAGCAGGGGCAGTACTGCCCAGGGGGATGGCACAGCCACGTGGAGCAGTATCCCCTGCCTTGGTGGCCGGGTGCCCTAGCCATCCCTCCAGGCTGCTCTTGCTCCCAGCTGGAACGCTGGCATATGGGTTCATGCCCACAGCCCAGGGACACACAGCTTACTGCTGGGCTTTTCCCCTCTGGAGAGGACTACATGGCCTGTGGCAAGGGCTGGCTGTCCTGAGTGCCACCTTGCTTGTCACCCGTGCTACAGCCAGGTCAGAGCGAGCTTCAAAATCTCCATAGCCTTGCCAGCAGTGCTGGCAGACACCGTCCTCTGCAGTCCAGGTTAATTGAGCCTCTCCTCCCAGTCTCCCGTTCCTCCCAGCACCTCCTTCCCATGACCACACCCCAGTGCAGACACCTTCCCCAGCCAGCCTGGGAGAAGCTCACCCCACAGAGCCCCTGGGAGAAACAGTGCCAACAGGGTGGGGAAACTGAGGCACACAGGAGTCACCTGGCAGAGTATCCCCATTTTCTCCCCATGGCCTTCCCCAGTTCTGGAGGACCAGCCGGACAGGGGACGAGCTCCCTAGCCAGGTGACTGCCTGCTCCCTCTGGCCCTGCCAAGGCAGCAGTGATTGGCATCATGACTTGCCAGGAGCTTGGGTGCCAGCGGCCCCTTGGGGCAGGGTGAGGTGGGGCTGAGCCCAGCTTCATCAGCACCCCGCAGCCCTCCTGCTGCCTCCTGGGTCCCTCCCATGGGATGGGCTCCCCTGGCCCTGCTCCTACTCAGCCCTGGCTCCCAGCTCGCTGGGGTACCGTCCTGTCCCAAGGAAGCCCCGAGGGTGAGCTGCAGCTGGGAGGGTCCGTGCATGGGGATGCCAGAGCTGTGGCAGTGCCCAAGGGTCTCAGGGCTGGTGGGGTGGCACAGGCTGGGGTGGGTGACAAGGGATGGAAAGAGAGTGTGCAAGGGTGGTGCGGATGCTCGGGCACCGTGGAGCAGGGCCTTGGGGTCCCTGCTGGCTGGTGAAGCCATCTCCTCCTG